GAATGAGTGGAGGCAACGAATCTCTAGGAAGACTCGTTCGGGAGATCTGTGTCCAGTTTTTGTAACTAAGATGCATATTAGAGTTTTGCTTCCCTGTTCAATGGTCTGTAACCGGTCAGTTGGCATTTCCGAATAAATAACTCCGCAGCGAAGGCCTTCTTCCTTTCACAGGTACTCGGGTTTACGAATTTGCTTGGCACAAGAATCAGCTTATTCGCAAACATGGACGTTATCCTACAGAGTCTTGTAGAGACCTTGTACACCTAGCAGATGTGAACTTCATATCAAACTATGGGGTGGAATTACTTGTACTTTTGACAGGATCAGATCCAAGAAGAGTTACGTCGTCTGCGTTCCAGATGTCTGTCAATGAACACCCTGGGAACATGTGATTCCCCGGGCGTCAGAGACTGGGAGCCATCCATGGTAATATCGTCAAAAGTTGAAGGAAAAAGAGGATAGAAGACAACCTTGTGTAAAACCGTCGAACATAGCGAACCAGGGTCAAAGCTGATCGTAGACATCCACGTATTCATGGCAGTTGGCGTACAGTGCTTTTAGAAGGTCAAGAATTGGCGGAGGATACCTTTGCTTCATAGACACCGCCATAGTACCGAACGATCAACAGAGTCAACGGAAGCCTTCAAGTCAAGGAAGTTGACCATTTGTTGCTGGAACGAGTATCGCAGTTCCATAGTCTGTAAGGGTGGGACATCTTGTGGGATGGAACCCAGATTTGCTCTCACGGATATTTTTGTGTTCAGTCAACTTGCGAAGGACAAAACCAGCGAGCATCTTACATATCACCTTACATATCCTACATACTATGCTAATGCTACCATGGCTTTCTAACACTGCTCGCGTACCTTTTTGAAGCTAGAGATAACCTTTGGAACGCCCAATTCTGAAGGCGTTTTTGTTGCACTCCATATAGGTTTTGTCAAGTTTATCGAGCACATCAGTGAACTATTTTTTTCATCTGTCGTTTCGCCTATAGTGGGCTTCCTTTGGCCCGCAGGTCAAGTTAAGTTATATAAGGCACGACTGTTTCCGATGGCGAAAACCGCCATTTCCTAAGCTTCAACTGTCCACCAGAACATCTTACCCTAGACTTCACTATTTCTCTTTTAAGCAATCTGCGCGCGCCGTCATACGTGTTACCTGCTGGTACCACTTTTTCGGTGTCAATCAGAATTATGTCCAGCGATTGTTTGATGGCATCAGGAAAGGCGGACGGGCACACAGACAAACAGACTAATAGATGGATGGGCAAGCAGAGGGATAGAAGCCATATGTCGTAAGCGTAGTCCTTCGTACATTTGAATGAGTGGCGCTATGTCCTGTTTCAGTGAGAGCTAATCACACTGTCGATCAGCTACTCTTGGCCAAATGGATATGTTCAACCAATGGTCGGACTGTCGCGGGTTCGAGACTTTAAGAGATTCGTGAGATGCGCACTGCTAATGATTCCCAACAAGGATGCAACAGCTGTACAGTGCTTTTAGGCTTTTCAGTATAGACTGGCTTCACTGACAGGATCAAATCTCTACTGACTGCGTATACTTCGCCAAAATTCAGAAACTTCACAGTCATTCAGCTATAGGACGCGTACCACAGTACAGCTATAGTTTAATTCACCAAGGATAAAGAGTATAAAGGAATGACAACCACGTTTAGGAGGCGATAGGCCGATCAGTTCACTGGGGTTACCATTCATAGACAGACGATATGGTATACCGGAGTGACTTATACAATAATTGCAACCAACTGAATGGAGCAAGCACAGACTGGTTCCATCGCTTAAAAGTCGTGTGAAATAAAATTTCACACGCGATTGAACATAGCGAACGAAAATTGTAACTAACCTTGTGACGGCTGTTGTGCCAGTCAACCAGAACGGTAAGTCGCTGTATTAGACCTTCTGATTCCTCTTTGGACCAGTTGTAAGTGAACAAAGTGATCTGCTTGCCTTCGATTGAAATCAGGCAAAATGTCTGCCTAGGAGCCAGGACAGTCACCCGCTGTGATTTGTCGGATGCTGTAGAATTCGGTGCAGATGCAGTGGACATAAGTGATGCATTCGCGTCGCGCTTAGAATTCCTGTCCACGGAGTGTTCCGATGTAGCGGATGTCCTTGACGATGGGCAGGGTGCAACTGATGCTATTGAGGGTGAGTGAAGGAACTCGATGGGGCAAAATGCAGGAAGCTTGCTACCACCTGAAGGAATTCGACACCATATAGGGAAGGTATGTTATTGTTATACTGCTGAAAGTGTAGACTCAGTTGCAATCGCTGAGTCTAGAGCACAGATCAGCTAACAAGGTATCAATATTTTTTAATATTTGTGTGTGCGTGTATGACTTATGATTATGACTGTGGATGTACTTGATGATGTACGGATATCCAGTCAGCATCCTTGAACACTTCCAAAAAATCAGATCAATCTGAAACTGCCTGTTCTAGAAACTGTGTTTTCACAAACTGGAAAGATACGGTGCCGTCTGAGGGAACTTGATCTGACGCGATTGGAAGTACCAATCGCACGCGAGTTTTCGGCTGTTTCAAACGACTCGACACGTGCGACACATATAACACACATCCCGATAGAAGAGTTCCTGCTGAC